TATATATATATATATATTATAAATGAATATTTTAACATTTATTTGATAAAACATGACAGTAAAGACATTACAAAATATTTTATAAATATTGTTACAATATATGTTTCGCAGATTAAACAAAAATATTAAGCAGCACAACTGTTTTAATCATTGTTAATAATAATAAATGATTCTTGAGCTGTAAATCAGCATATTAAAATGATTTCTGAAGGATAATGTGACACTGAAGACTAATGACTACTGAAAATCCAGTTTTCAATCACAGGAATCAATTTCATTTTGTAATATATTCAAATAGAAAACATTTATTTTAAATTGTAATACTATTTCACAATATTACTGTTTTTACTGTATTTTTTTGATCAAATAAATGCAGCCTTGGTGAGCAAATACATTAAAAAAAATATTGCCAACCCCAACCTTTTAAACAGCAGTATTTATGTATTATGTATACAGTATATCCGCATTATGTTGTCCATCCTTCACCCTAGTCTCTTGTTATTGGTATCAGCCATTATAAAACCCATATTGTTAGACCACTAGTTTATATAGGAGAAAACGCAGTTGTTAAAGGTGAAAACTGCATGTGTCAGCAGTGTAGCGAATCAGCTCAAAGGGGAAATATGAATAATTAATCATAACTAGTTATAATTAATTATAAATATTTAGATCCGCTGTAAGTATTTACTTGACCTCTCAGGGTCAACTGTCTGTCAATTCTAAGAACGTTAATTTCCTGGTTAAGGGAAATAACTTTCTTACTGTACAATTCTACACAGAGCCTGTAGCATAAATCTGCATGATTAAGGGACTCCAGTTATGAGCAAACAATGAACAACGTCAAGTGTGATACAAGTAAGACTTTATTAACTACATAAACACTTAAACTAGTCCAACATACTACATAAACACTTAAACTGGTCTAACATACACATAAACACTTAAACTGGTCTAACATACACATAAACACTTAAACTGGTCTAACATACACATACACACACACACACACACACACACGCATACAGTTGGTATAGGAAAGGGTTAAAGCTTAAGCAGTAAAGAGGAGAGAAATAAGGAATGAAGTTATGGAACCATTTGCATATTCAGCAGAGTAAATATATTTTTTTTGCTATTTTACAAAAAAATTTTCAGAGGTAAATCCATGACAATTAAATTTTTTAACAATATTTCAAGTGTAATTTATGAGATTTGTTGTATTTTGAATCCTAATTTTTCTCTGTAAAAGGCAAAAAGTTGATACTGATTTCCAAGTTAAGGATTCATTAGTTTGAATGTACATTGAACCAAAAACTGTCATAACATCTCATTTTTGACAAAACATCCCATGTTTCGGTAGTGACGGCACATTTTCGGTAGTGACAGTAATGCTAAAAAAAAAAACTGTGAAAAATTATTCAAAAATGTCTGATTTAAAAATGCCAGGATTAAATTTTGAGTTTTGGGACAACATGTTAATAAATTTTTTTGAGGAAAGTTAGCAGCATATTGTATACAGTTATAAGTGAAATTGCTAAATAATGCCCATCTTATCACTAATATAAACCAAATATTTCTGCAAACCCAGTTCAAAAAGCCAATGTGAGGGTAAGTAACTAATAGTTTTGAACAAAGTTATGAGCACGGCAAAACAAGCAAACAAAAAACATATATTATATTATATTATATTATATTATATTATATTATATTATATTATTAGATAGCCTATGTGTTTAATGGATAATAAATAGTGTCATCTAACTTCGATTTATGTACTCATGTATATTCATTTTTGAATGAGAATGAATTACTGATCCCTTAAGAATTATATAATTTTATATTAATAACGTTTTAATGAAGGCTATTACACAGTGTTACCCTGAAGTGTTTTTGGTTTTTATATGTAAATCAGGCATTAAATCATAAATCAAAAGTCATAAATTGTGTAAAAATCATGATCAAAGCCGCACACGCCCCCCCCCAACACTCTTCATCATGAATCGGGGCGAGTGAAGCAGAGCGCTAATCAATTAACACTGCCTTTGTCAGCAGAAAGGAGCTCATGAAGAGAAATACATTTAACCCTTGAGGCCTGAAAATGAATGCTTAAGTGACATATTAACACCGCGGGGCATCTGCAGATATACAGAGCTGCTACAAGTCATTGACTTTGTTGGTTTTGCTCTGAAACAGTCCAAACTGTGAAATGCAGCTGCTGGGGCCCTGCTGATGTTGTATTGATCGTATCAGGAGGGGTCAGCAAATACTCTGTAGCATCTTAATCACAGCGATACTCTTGTGTTAGAGATTTCTGGAGTCCTTACTATATTAAAATGCAGAACAAATCTAACTGAATCTGCATTTGATATGCAGCAAAAAGTTTTTGCAAGGTTTCCCAGATGTTAAAAGGATTGTTCAACCAAAATAAAAATTTGCTCTTAATACTTAACCTCAGGCCATCCAAGATGTAGGGTGACTTTTTTTCTTCAGTAGAACAGCAACATGTTTTAGCTGAAACTGCAGTGCTTGGTGATTCATAAAATGCAAGTTAACTGCTACCGTCACTTTCATGGTAAAGGCAACACAAAATTAATACCTGTGGCTCCTGACGATATATTGAGTTCTTACAAAGCAAAATGTTTGGTCTGTGCAAGAAACTAAATGTTATTTACATTTACATGTTATTTACAAACATTATTTACAATTACACTGAAGGATCAGGACCCTGGACCACAAAACCAGTCATAAGTAGCACGGGTATATTTGTAGCAATAGCCAACAATACATTGTATGGGTCAAAATGATACATTTTTCTTTTATGCCAAAAATCATTAGGATATTAAAGGGGTCAAAATTCACTTTTACATGTTGTTTGAACTGAAATGTGTGTCTTGGCAGTGTGTGTACACAACCACCCTATAATGATAAAAAATCCACCCAGTGCTTTTTTTAACATCTCGATAAATCCAAACCCCTTTCTCATATCAAGCCAATCTCAGATTCTTGGACAATGACGTAGTTCTGCACAGGCCCCTCCCTCGATTGTTGATTGACAGTGGTGTCAGTCTTTGGTTTTATCACAGCTCCGCCCTGAGTGAGCTGTCAACAGTCCATCATTGTTTCGACGCTGGAGTGGTTGTAGACAACAATGGCTCCTAAGCGATTGACGTGTTTTGTTGTTGGATGTAATAATGAACATAGCAGTTGTCATTTACTCCCGACATCTGAGGCGCTGAATTACTTTCGCTTTTGAAGAGAATGCGCCCCCGATCTACCTAAATGCGTTCGGATCACTATGTTCGCGCGAATCATTCGTGATCCAGCCCCACCTACAGAAGAAGTGAGTATAAGGTTTTTTATGAATCTTTGCAAATCGCCTTTCCTAATAATGTGCTAGTTAGCAAGTTTTACGATGAATGCGGCTTAAGTTTACAGTCTCTCAGAGAGCAGCTCGGAATAGAGGGGCGGGGTGAACAGAGCTCATTTGCGTTTAAAGGAACATGCAACAAAACAGCTTGCTGTAAACCGAGCTGGTTTTGACAGGGTAAAAGGGTGTTGTTTTACAATACCATTGAGAAATTTTAACCAAAGTATGTTTTAGACTTTTCATTAAGACCCTAAAGAATCATATCAAACTGTGGAAAATGGGCATTCGATGACCCCTTTAAGTAAAGATCATGTTCCATGAAGATATTTTGTAAACTGCCTACCATAAATATATCAAAACCTAATTTTTGATTAGTAATATGCATTGCTAAGAACTTCATTTGGACAACTTTAAATGCGATTTTCTCAATATTTCGATTTTTTTGCACCCTCAGATTCCAGATTTTTAAATAATTGTATCTCTACCAAATATTGTCCTATCCTAACAAACCATACATAAATGGAAAACTTATTTATTCAGATTTCAGATGATGTATAAATCTCAATTTCAAAAAATTTACCCTTATGTCTGGTTTTGTGGTCCAAGGTCACATATAGCCTCAGGCAAACAGGGAAGCCTGATTCTTTTCCGCAAATTGGTTCTTTTGAACAGTTCAGGTAAATGAACTGGTTCAAATAACTGATTTGCCAGTTTGTTTACATAATCGCGCAATTACGTAATGTATACGCAATTATATTATTAAACTGCACCTAATAATGATGTGTAACGTGGATGTTTTACATGTTTAAAGCATAAACTTGTCTTCATCAGCTCACCTTTTTACATTAACAATGAGAAACCATAAAAACTCGCATTTTGCCCCTTTATTGAAGTGCTTGGTTCCCACCTGCACAAATAACCGGCTGGGGTGGGGTAACTGGAGCACTGAATGAGTTGTCAAAAACCGGCATCATAGGATCATATAGCAATTACGTAATGTATACGCAATTATATTATTAAACTGCACCTAATAATGATGTGTAACGTGGATGTTTTACATGTTTAAAGCATAAACTTGTCTTCATCAGCTCACCTTTTTACATTAACAATGAGAAACCATAAAAACTCGCATTTTGCCCCTTTATTGAAGTGCTTGGTTCCCACCTGCACAAATAACCGGCTCATCGGTCCGAGTCGGAGCCGTTTACTCAGTTTTGGTGGGGTAACTGGAGCACTGAATGAGTTGTCAAAAGCCGGCATCATAGGATCATATACATCAGGACTTTGGCTCATTTTTCCAGTCGGAGTGACTGTCGGGCACATCCGAAAGTGAGTTTTGATTGAGTAACTTATAGATCTGTGCCACTTGAGTCGCAAACTGTTTCAGGCGGTTTAGTCAGATTTGGTGAACTGGTTCAAAAGAATGATTCGCTCGTGAACCGAACATCATTCCAGACCGTTTGCTTGAGGCTATGGATTACAGGGGCCTGAGGGTGAGTAAATTAATACATTTTCATTTTTGGGTGAACTATCCCTTTAAGAAGAGCATTATGCTCGCAAACTGCTGAATAATAATTTGTCTTTGATTTGTAAAAGTCTCTAGCCATATCAAGAGCACATTTGTAGAAAGAAAGACATTTCTATTATATATCTTAGCATAATCTCATTGTATCTTCAGGTATTAGATCTGAACATTGATTATTACATCATCTGCCATTTTCATCTCTAAAATGAACGGTGCTTGTCAAACAAATAGCCAGAATTGAGAAGACGAAATGTTTCTGAAGGTTGTGTTCAAAAAGGCTTTACATCCACAACAGACTCTTTATGCATATATTCATGAGTTTGCCTCTATACAAAAACAAATCTAATGCCTTTACTGTGCAAACACTTTGCAGCGCTCCTAAAGTCTTCTTGCATGTGTGTGTGTCTGTGAGGAATAACAATTATGAGCCTCCTTTTCTTAAGACAGATGTTCTTAATTGGCTCTGAAACATAACTGTCAGTGTACATGTCCATAGCTGTTGATATAAAAGCCATTTGTGTGGCTGTAATTGTGACAGTATAAAACATGTAATGGTTGATGAATGTCTTTGGAGATATTGTCCTCCTGACAATGCTTATTGTTATGTACAGTAGGTACCTCATCTGCCTGATTGATCCTGATTTGGTTTGAGTTGCAGATTATTTGACATTATTTGACTGTAAATATAAGGGAACTTCAATGATTTTCACAACTGGAAAGGTCTTGGAAATTAATACAGTTTTAAAAATCATGTAAATGTGTGTTTCTTTTGTCAGTATTGATTTTTGTAGTCATGCTTTGCTCTAAAGCATTCCAATATCTCACTAGATATGTTTTTTCATGAGCCCTTTTGTAGAGTAAAATTTGATGACTGATAACATCAGTCTGTTCAATGAGGAGTGCTTTGGGATTCTTTGGATAGTATATACTACTAGCTAATTGTTTTTCAAAATCGTCTTCCTCAAGGGGAGAAGGGGCACTGAATCATCCATTGAGAAGTAATCCAATCTCAGGGTGTTTTTGTCTTATTGGAGATCTTTGTACTCTAGAAAGTTATTTAAATCAAGTAATTAAAAAAATTAGACCCAGAAATCTCTATAAAACTATGTTCACAAATTCCTCAGTCCGAAAACATATTGTAATGTCAAAATATAATGGAAAACATAATGGAAATTCTTTTAAAAAAATTTCACACTGTTCAGGATAAGGATAAATAAATGTTCACCAGTTGGTTGGTTTGTTGGTTGTTTTATTTTTTTAAATAATTAATTTTGTATTTGTTTAATTTATTAATTTATTTCTTAACAAACCTTTTTTTTTTTCAATAAAAATGATTGTTATAATTTTAAGTTGGTCTTTTATTATTATTATTATTATTATTATGTTGTTGTTGTTTTTGTTGCTGATGATGATGATGATGATGTTTTTTTTATATAAAAAAGCACATTTTATTTTTAAAATTGCTTTTTGTCTTATCAAATGAATAACTGAATATATGACCCCAACAAAGAATTTGAAAAAGGAAATCAAACAGAAATCTCTAAATTCACTATAAAATTGTTTAAAAATTCCCTAGTCTGGATAGAAACAACTGCAAATGTCATGGAAAAAATAATTAATATTAATTTTAAAAAATTAGGAAGTTAGGAAACCTAATTTAGTGTATAATGGAATTGTTCAATGGCTTAGAATACAATTATTGTAATAGAAATAGTATAGTAGCCTATCAGTCATACTGTCCAGGATACATCAAAAAAGAAAAGGCAAAATAATTATTAATTTAGCATTTGTTGTTTTAAAAAAAAAATAATAATAAAATAAAATCATATACTATTTTTCAAATAGCTTTTTCTCATCAAAAGGATAATTTTATATAGGCTGTGACCCTGGCATAACTGTATAACTTGTTGCTGTGATAATGTGCAGTTTTAAATTTTGATTTAGATGGATGAGAATAGAGCAGCGTGTCGTCAAAGCTTTTGTTTCCTGTGTGTTAATTCCCAGGTTGCTTGACTTCAAATGCCGTTATACGTAGGCAAAATTACCCAATGTACTGCTGTGTGCTCGAGCATGCAGCGCAACCGTAGTGTTCTTCAGAGATGTGACACTCAAGCTCTATTTTAAAACACCAATCCTTTGCTGCCACAAGTTTTCTCCTCGCAGAAGAATCGTTTATAAAATATGCATTTGATGGAGCCAACTCCTCGTCTCCACGATTCGAGATATATATGCATTTCAGAGGCAGAGTCCTCCTCTGTAGAGCAGATATCAAAAGAAAAAGCCTGGCCTTAAGATGTGTTTGTGTGGCTGGTAAAAATTCAGATATTTAGTGCTGTTTTCAGCAGTGAAATGAACAGTAAAGTAAGAATCTGACAAGCGTTTTGAGGAAAGAAACAGCACAGCAGTGTGTGTCGCCACTGGTGTAATAGCAGGTGCAGAGAAGGTGGCAAATCACTGCAATCATTGCTCAGTGGAGGACGACCAGTGAGATGTCTTATGATGGGAAGCCACCTGAGGTGCTGAGTCACACACTTGTTTGTCTTGGCAGAGATCCGGGAGGCGTTCAGGGTCCTGGATCGGGATGGCAATGGGTTCATCTCCAAGCAGGAGCTTGGCATGGCCATGCGCTCACTAGGGTACATGCCCAGTGAAGTGGAGCTGGCAATCATCATGCAAAGATTGGACATGGATGGTGAGTTCCTCTACTCACCAACACACATTTACTTTGCTGTCATTGGTGGGAATTTTCATTGACTTCTATTAGTTTTTTATTGCAGAAATGATATTTTTATACCTCAATGACAGTATTTAGCATGCACATTTATTTAGCTGTTTTCCCATCTATTTCCTATCATTAGCTGGTCCCCACAATGTACGTAAACCTGACTCACACACATAGACTCAGATGACCTTGTATTACTCTTTTTCACTCTCAGTATGATTTATATTAAGTATATAATGTATACACTACCATTTGAAAGTTTGGAGTCTGTAAGATTTTATAATGCTATTGAATGCTATTGTCTTTTATGCATTTATTTGATTAAAAATGCAGTAAAAGTAATATCGTGAAATATTATTACAATTTAAAATCACCGTTTTCTATTTGAATATATTTTAAAATGTTATTTATTCGTGTGATGCAGATTTGAATTTTCAGGATAATTACTCCAGTCTTCAGTGTTACATGATCCTTCAGAAATCATTCGAATATACAGAATTGCCTTCATTATATTATTAATGTGGAAAAGAGTTGTGCTGATTAATATTTTTGTGGAAACCATGATACATTTTCCATTTCAATATGAATTGAATGTTCAAAAGAACAGCATTTATTTGAAATGTGTCTTACTGAATGAGAGCTTTTTTTCTTAAAATGTTTCCCAATTTTTGAACAGTAGTGTATATATAGTGTATATAAAAATCGCAAATGTTTGAAGATCTGATAATATCAGTGAGTTTCGACAGGAGCGTTCATGTGTATATGATGCTCTGATTTGAACTCATATTCATAAAGATTCAGCTACTACACTTTCTGGACATGAAAGATTGTCGATTGCAGACACTGCTGGATGTCACCATGTTTATTTTACTGAGTTTTTAATTCTCAAAGCAATTTGCTTCAGTTTCATCCCTCTAAGCCAGCAGAACTAATCTACAGGCTTCTGGGCCTGACATATTTTTTAGTGAATCTGTAGCGAAGACTCTCTCTTTTTGTACAAGGAGTTTAAGTGGAAATGAATTAATAAAGCAGTAATATTTTCCTGCTTCATTAGCATATGGTCTTAAAACAGTAACTGGACATTACCTTTGATTTCAGGCTGTTCACTTTAGATTAGGGGCCCACATTAACTTTTATGACAGCTAAATTCTGCTTTAATAAAATTTTCATCACATTTTAATCAAGTTTTTTTCTTTTTCTTTTTATGAGTCAGTCTTTGCCTAGTCGTCTGAGGACATTTTATCAGGATCAGAGAACTAGACTCTTTTACTTTGAATCTAAAACCATGAATCTATAATATTAAACTGCATGAGCATGAACATCAGTGACATATATGCTGTTTGAGAGATTGTTGAATAAAATAAAATACATGAGCTCTTGGTTATGAATACAAAGATATATATTTTTGTCATAAAGCAAACGGCCAAAGCTATTTGTGCTAAAATATTTGAGGGGAAAAAAACTATTTTCCATAACATAGTTGAAATATTGAGCTTTTAGGTGTAAACATAACAAATACTAATAATTATGATTTAAAAGGATAGGTCACCCAAAAATGAAACTTCTGTCATCATAACAGTTGACGACAGCCATTGACTTCCATAGGAAGTGGAGAAAAATACTATTAAAGTCAATGGCTACCCGCATCTGTTTGGGTACCAACATTCTTTGAAATATCTTCTTTTGTGTTCAACAGCTGAAAGAAACTCATACAGGTTTGGAACAGCTTGAGTGTGATTAAATTATGACAGAACTTAAGAACGATCAATCCTTTATTTTTGAAGGGGAAATGTCACAACATAACAGGAGAGAACAGGGGTGTATTCCAGAAAGCAACGTTAACTTACTATCTGCTAAACCCTGAACTCTCGGTTGATTAACCCAAACCTTGCTTACTCGAGGTATGCTGGTTCCAAAAACGCATCCGAGCGTAAGTTCATTCAACCCATGTTCCTGGTTAACACGCAAGACATTCTCAACAGAGCGACGAATCGACGAGTCGCTAAGGAAACGGATACTAAGAAAAAGCGTGCCATGCTGCTTCTTTCTTCTTCTGTTCAAAGGCCGTTTGCATACTTGGTTCATATCGCCACCTAACTGGTGGTTGTGAAATCATTTTCCTAATGAGAATTATATTGTTTGTCTGATGCTAATTATATCATAAGTCATATAAGATGTGTATTTTTATTATAGAAATACATCATAGAAAATGCCGATCCATGATGTGTGAGATGACAATAAAATTAAATAAATATATCTAATATAATAAATTAAACATGACCTTGTCATAATAGTGTTTTATAATTTATACAGATAACTATTATATATGCCAATAAAATAAAATGCTTTAACATATCATACAACTACTGTATATCTATATCTGTGTATATTACATAACTGTATTGTAATAATATACAATGTTGTGCACAATCTGTCACGCCCACTGGAGTCTCATCAGTAGGTGAAGCATGTGCTGATAGCTCTGAAATAAACTAACCCTGAAACATAACCTACTCTGGAGCAGGTTATGTTCAGACAGTTGCTATGGCTACTTACATACCCTAAAAGTTACCTCAGTTTTTGGAACCGAAAGCTGAGTTTATCTGCTTACTTACACTTAAACATACCAGGTATGTCACATAACCTGCTTTCTGGAATACCCCCCAGAAAATGCATATACAAAAACATTCTCAGAAGTTTAGAAGGGAAAAAGTAAAAGCAAGATATCTACATTTCATCGAAAGCTAAATATGGTATGTTTATTCCACATAACCTAACATGTAAGAACAAAATGTGTTTTATTTTACAATATTTTGCTTTACATAAATACTACCAAATAATAAATACAAAAAAAATCATAAATTATATATATATATAATTTTATTTTATTATATATTTTGCTATTGTAGAAAGACTCTAAAAATCACATAATGGGACTAAATAATGTGACTATCTCAGTAGTATTAGCAGCCAAAAAGAATTAAGTGGGGAGATGAGAAATGAGAGAAGTTGCAAGCAGTGTTAAATTGTTACACTGCTGCCTGATAGCAAAGTATTTTACATTCCAGTATTGTTAAGGTTTTGACCTTCTTTAGTATTCCTAAATAAATACTGCTTCTGAAGTTCATAGTACATAGTGTGAAGTACATAGTGTGATGGGCTGTCATTTGAAAAAAAAAAAAGTGGGATAAAAATCATAATGACTCCAATTGACCTTCATCACTGTCAGCATATCTGTACATTCAAGAAATATGATCCCTGGCCATAGTCACCTGCAGTGAGCCGAACTGCCAGACATCAGATGAATGCGGCCAGCAGATGTAATCCAATGATTCACATCAATGTTCAGAGTTCAGCTAAAGTTTGTCACATTGAGTCATCTTCAGGAGCGCTATTGTCTGAGGAAGCCAATAAGCAGTTCTGCAAGCACAGGTCACACTCATTCAAGCACTTTTGAAAGCATGTTTACCTTTTTTTTTTCATTTTTAGACTGATTGCTCATAACAGCTGATGTGTTAGTCTGTTTAGCTGTGGTGTGTTATCATATATTTACTCTCTTAAAGGTGAAGTGAGTGTGTTTCAATGTTAATATACTTCATCATATCCCAGTGTGGCCCTGTGGTGTTTCCAACAATCGTATATGTTAATTTCAAACTAATGATTGAGTCTTCTCGTCTGTAAGATTGGCAGTAGAGGTGTTTGGCATTCATTTTTTTTGTATATAATTATTACTGATGCTTGCTAAAGCAATACTTATGAACAAAAATGATGAGCATTTGTCTTTTTTTCCCCAAACATGTCCTGGTCGGGATTTCTAAATTGCCTAAAATGTCTGTTTTGGCTCTGTATTCTTATCGTTTTAATACTTGCTGAAGCTGCACTCTTAAAAATAAAAGTTTTTTTATTGGCGTCATTGGTTCCATGAAGAACCTCAAACATCCATGGAACCTAAAGGTTCATTATATTGGAAAAAAAGGTTCTTTAGATATTCTTCACAGTAAGAAAAAATGGTTCTTTTAAGAACTTTTCACTACAACAAGGTTATTTTGGGAACCCAAAATGGTTCTTTTATGGAATCACTGTGAAAACCCCCCTTTTGGAACCAATGTTTTTAAGAGTGTAATGACTGAAAAGTAGTTTGACCAATAGCATGCAGGTATTGTACATAATCGACCAATCGTGGCGTGCAAGAAGGTGTGATCTACAGAGAATGGTCAAAGCAATACAAATACGCGTATATATAATGTTTGAGGACTGTAAAGCATGTAAATATGAAAAATAAAGCCAAAACCCGGACATTTTTGGCAATTTAGAAACCAACAACACCCTAGCAACTACCTATAAAATATTGCTAGGGGCTCAGAAATGACACGCCTCACCTTTAAAGGAACACTCCACTATTTTTGAAAATAGGCTCATTTTCCAACTCCCCTAGAGTTAAACAGTTGAGTTTTACCGTTTTCAAATCCATTCAGCCGATCTCCGGGTCTGTTTAGTACACGATGTAACTACAGAATAGTCAAGTTTTAAATGGGAAAAATATAGAAACTCTTTGGTCTTTTTTGAGCGAGATGCTAACGGTCTAATCAGATTCAATGATCTATGCTAAGGTACAGCTAAAAGTGCTACCGCCAGACCCGGAGATCGGCTGAATGGATTCGAAAACAATAAAACTCAACTGTTTAACTCTAGGGGAGTTGGAAAATGAGCCTATTTTCAAAAATAGTGGAGTGTTCCTTTAATGCCTCCAGTCATAAAATGATGCCTTCAATTTTAAATATAGCTTTTGGGATTTGTGAGCAGGATTCTGACGTTAATTTGATTTTCAGGTGATGGACAGGTGGACTTTGATGAGTTCATGACGATACTCGGACCGAAGCTCCTGTCCTCTGAAACGCGGGAAGGTTTCCTTGGAAACACAATCGACAGCATATTCTGGCAGGTAAGATGCCGTGGAGGACAATTTACCGGTGGCTGTGCAGGACTGAACTTCAAACAGTCTTTAAATTGCTACATTATATAAGCTGGTTTATTGGTGTGATGATTAGGGCCCTATGAAATCCATGTTATTTTTCCCCATTTTTTCCATTTGAATTTTTCTGGATTACGTTTTTTTTCCATTAAAATTTTTTCTAGACTCTGTTTTAATGGTTAAATTAAATTGTGTTAATCAAAGAGCATGTCTAATTAACTGAAATCATGAAACCTCCAATATTAAACAGCTATTTTTACCAAATTCTGTTTTATTTTTGTCAAATTCTCTTTTCCATCATTTTTTTCTGGATTCCACTTTAATGGTTTCATTAAATATTAATAATCAAAAGCATCTCTAATTCATTGATTTTATAAAAAAAAATTTTTTTTATTATTATTTAATTTATTTATTTTTTTAGTTTTCCAGAAATGCTGTGTTGTGTATTTACATTTTTCTGCTGAATAAATTCTGGTAAATAATTTTTCTGGTAAATATACCTTTTAAAATAATGTTTTAATAATAATTAAATTTTTTTGTAGCAGTACTATCATTACATTAAGTAATATTTCTGTCACGGTTTCTTCAAGTTAAACCAATATTTTATTTTGACGGGTTGCTGTAAAGACCTTAAGGTTTTCTGCTTGTATTATGATATGACGATAGTTTTTCTCAAAAGAAACGGTAAAATGCTCTGGTTTATTGGTGTGATGATTAGGGCCCTATGAAATCCATGTTATTTTTCCCCATTTTTTCCATTTGAATTTTTCTGGATTACGTTTTTTTTCCATTAAAATTTTTTCTAGACTCTGTTTTAATGGTTAAATTAAATTGTGTTAATCAAAGAGCATGTCTAATTAACTGAAATCATGAAACCTCCAATATTAAACAGCTATTTTTACCAAATTCTGTTTTATTTTTGTCAAATTCTCTTTTCCATCATTTTTTTCTGGATTCCACTTTAATGGTTTCATTAAATATTAATAATCAAAAGCATCTCTAATTCATTGATTTTATAAAAAAAAATTTTTTTTATTATTATTTAATTTATTTATTTTTTTAGTTTTCCAGAAATGCTGTGTTGTGTATTTACATTTTTCTGCTGAATAAATTCTGGTAAATAATTTTTCTGGTAAATATACCTTTTAAAATAATGTTTTAATAATAATTAAATTTTTTTGTAGCAGTACTATCATTACATTAAGTAATATTTCTGTCACGGTTTCTTCAAGTTAAACCAATATTTTATTTTGACGGGTTGCTGTAAAGACCTTAAGGTTTTCTGCTTGTATTATGATATGACGATAGTTTTTCTCAAAAGAAACGGTAAAATGCTCATGAAGTGACTCTCAGAGCAGTTCTAGAGATTATGTTCATGTGTTTATGTACTCGTATACTGAGGCAGCAGAGGTTGAAAACATGCTTCAGTATGTATGTGCCGTAAATGAATCCGCATTTATGCGTTAATATTCACAGACACTAGTCTCGTTTTGATGTAAGTGTAATGACCTACTTTTGATATATCCATCCAAACTTTGGCATATTCCGTGACATTCCGCGTTATACAGTAAATTCAGTTTTTATGACTGGATACATGGCCGTACCCAGGCTTTGAAAATTAGTGAGGTCCGGGAGGGGGGGCAGGGGGGATGATGGGGGTTGGTGTTAAAGAATTGTGTTATAATAACCCCTACAAATACAACTCATTATATACACTATAAACACTTTAAAGGAGACAGACATGTAGATGTTTGTGAAAGATGTTTTCTCTGTTTTGGAGGGATGATTATTTTTAAATCATACCCTATTTATTGCATCAAAATTTGTTAATACTTTACTATATGTAAGGGTGGATATTTTTTATCAGTTGTTTATTGCAACAATACATAACTACAATAACTTTGTCTAGTGCTCTTATGAAAGTTTATAGCATGATTTGTGAAAATTTAACTATACTGAATGACATGGCATAGACCTCTTCATGGCTAGTTTTAGCGAATTTCATTTCATTTCATTCTGTAACCTACTTGTTCTACAGATCTGTGTGTACTAGTGTTAAATGCTACTGTTTTTGACAGCGTTGATAACGTTTATGACAGATAATATCATGATAATTTTTGCGTTTCCCTTACCGAATGTCGTATCTCGTCAGCAATAACCTGTCCATGGACTTTTTTGATTACTGCCAGTTTAAGTGCTGGCGATGTAATGTTGCCCGATATTGCTAACAGGAAGTGCTTGTAATACCAAGTTTTAGGCATTGTTCAAATAAGTACAAGCTAGAAGGAGAAGGAATAAGTAAAAAGAGATCATTTTTTTTATGATGAAGTCAAGTAGCTTCGAAAGAGATGAGTTTTCAGCTGTCGCTTGAAAATGGTCAGGGATTCAGCATTCCGGATAGGGGTGGGAAGATCGTTCCACCAGCCAGGAATGGTGAACGAGAATGTTCTGGAAAGTGATTTTGAGCCTCTCTGTGATGGTACCACGAGGCGTCGCTCACTAGCGGATCCAAAAATAAATCTTACTGTAGTCTTCAAATCTGGGTACTGTCTTACGTTTTAAAATCACAAAGGGAGTTTGGTCCCATCAGGCTAACGTGACAGTCACGACTCATGCAGCTGTAAGGTTTTCTGCTTCTTTTGTTTTTACTCGCGATCTTTACAACACGCATTACATTACGTATTTCATGGCACACTCGTTTTATGCGTATTTGGCGCCACCTATTGTTGTGGGTGTATATAATAATAAGAATATAAGACGACCGCGTTTTTTCAGATGTATTTCCAAGACATCGTCTTATATTCGGGTCAATACGGTAATAGCGTTCTGGCAACACTCAGCTCTCTCAAGCCTCGTTCACTCCGCCAGCGTCTCGCAGCGACCATTTTCATAACAGGGACGCTAAACATTCTTGCAAACTGTCTAAACAGAATTATACATGTCATGCAGGCATTTATATAAGGAGTTTAACAGCAAATTAGTCATTCAAAGAACAAATTTTAGTTTTGGACATGAAAAATTTACCGAGGTTCGGACCTCGGTGGCCTCATAGCTGATTACGGGCCTGACTGGATATGACTGCATCACAGAAATCAAAGGGCCCCCAAGTGTGATGCTTGTTTTTCAGAATAACATCAATGAGAGGTATAATGGCGCGTGCATTTCTGGATATTGTTAAATTAGCGACATTTATGTGTAGACTGGTTTGTAAGAATGGTATTCGGCTGATTTGAGCTGGGTGAAGCAGTGTTTGGCTTGGCCGCGGTCTGGGATCCCTGTGGGTTTAGTGAAGTCTCTGGATCGTGATGGAGTGCTGTGTGATGATATTGGAGAAGATGAAGCAGAGCCCATGCCAGCCCCACTTGGCTGAGACAGGTGCTCGTGACCTTGGCTGGCCCCGTTGGAGGGACCGTCCCGGAGGAGTTTGACAACTCAGTGTTTATTACAGAGGCCAGATCGCTCACGGTCAGGGAGATATGTAATAGACATTACCTTAACCCTGACTACTTATAAAATGGAAATAAATGTCTGCGTAAAGAATTTGTCAGTAACTTGACAGGCACCTTTTGGTTATGTTATCCCAAAACATTACATAGCAACAAACACCTCTGTAACAGCATCTGCTTGTCTTTATGCTCTGTGGAATTATTTTACTTTTTAAAAATTCCGCTTATTTACAGTATGTAGTTAATTAGAATGATTGAAATGATTGCATACACTATTATTTGTGGTCAGTAAGATTTTTCAAATGTTTTTAAAAATTGAAATGTTTTTGAAAGAATCATCTTTTATGCTTACTTAGGCTGTATTTATGTGATTAAAAATACAGTAAAAACAGTAATACTGTGAATATTATTAAAATGATTTTGTATTTTATTAGATTTTAAAATGTAATTTATTCATGTGATGCAAAGCTGAGTTTACAGCATCATTACTCCAGTCTTCAGTGTCACATGATCCTTCAGAAATCATTCTAATATGCTGATTTGATGCTCAAGAAACATTTCTCATTATTATCAATGTGATATTATCACTATATTGGGTATTCAGAACCCCTCTTGACCAAAAAACACTGTTATATGAGCACATGCTGAATGCTTGAATGGCAATACATTTGTTTTTCACAAGTTTCCACACTGCATGCTGTAATTATATATATATATTATATATATATAAATATATATAATATATTATATATATAAATATAGACATTATATATTTGTATAGGTCTTTATATATTTGAAATATACTTTTGAGTTCATGAAATACCAAAAGTGTTTAAGTAAACACAAAATTAGTTTGAATATGTGGTTAAATATTACTTAAAATATCTTACAAGATTAGTGGTATTGTGTTCTTTTAGTATAATTTGCTGTATACTATTATAGTATTTATTCATATTTTGAATCAGCGTTAATTTTATATATTCAGTTTTAGTTTGTTTTAATAATTTTTGTGCTTTTGTCATTTCATTCATTTATTAATTTTTATTTAGCTTTAATTTATTATTATTTCCGTTTTCATTTTTGTAATTTTAATACTTCGACTTTTACTCTACTTCAACATTTTATTATTATTATGATTTTTTTCAGTTAGTTGCCAAGGCAACATTTTAAATTTTTGTTAGAAAAATATAAGTTTTGTATTTGTTAGGTTGAAGTTTTTCTAATATTTTATTTTAGCTTTATTTTAATTAATTAAAATTAATAATTTTTTAATAGTTGCACTTAAGATAAAAGGTCTCTAGCTGCTTTCATATACTGTACATGATTTTTAATCATGTAAACCAGAAAAACTGTTAGCATACGCTCAGTGTGATGATTCCTTTCACTGTTAATTTAAGTGATATGTGTAACGGGGCTGACAAGACGTGAGACGTGCGGATCCATATGCAAGCTTTATTAACATGAGAGGAGGTCAGAAACACAGGCAGGGTCGAACGGTGGCAAACAGGTATATGGCGGGCAAGA